TGCGTGCAAGCATGCACTGGTCTGGAGCATTTTTGCTCAAGGCTAGTGCTCTACCACTTGAGCCACAGCTCCACTTCTGACTTTCTGCTGGTTAGAGTCTTAGGGACTTTCCTGCCAGGGCTTGCTTCAAACCATGATCCTCAGATCTCAACCTCCTAAGCAGCTAGGATTACAGATATGAGCACATGATGCCCAATAATTTCTGCAACACAGAACTCAGGAATAATAACGAGCATGAAAGTAAAATATGTCCATAAGTTACTAGAAAGTTACTATGCCCGATACTTGAGAAGTTCAGAAGTCTTAGGATAAATTCCTGCAATTTGTAGGCTTTATTACCTACTTCTTTTAAAAGCTAATACCCTCTTCTTGAGACTGGCAAAATGGACTGAGAAAACTAGCTGTCATGGAGAAAGAGACCGGGTTTCCCCCTCACCTGCCATCATGCACACTCCACACACCTCCAGAAGCTTATCATCTTCCACCTTGCAAGGATTAGTCTATCAGAACAGTGAGAAGCATCTTTCCCAGTTGTCCATAGCTACTCCACATGAAGACTTTACAGTGCCATCAAAGAAGGGGAGTAAAAAAAAAAAAAATCTACTGGCAAGACAACAATGTTCTAAAACCTGGATTGTGGTAACAGATGCACTCTAAACAATAAATAAACCACATTTAAAATAATAACCAGGGCTGGGAATGTGGCTTAGTGATAACAGTGCTTGCCTAGCATGCATGAAGCCTTGGGATCAATTCCTCAGTACCACATTAACAGAAAAGCCACAAGTGGCTCTGTGGCCCAAGTGGTAGAGTGGGAGCCTTGAGCAAAAAAAAAGCAGCTCAGGGTCAGTGCCCAGGCCCTGTGTTCAAGCCCCAGGATTGGCAAAAAAAACAAAATAGGTGTATGTACGTGTGTGTACATATGCATGTATACATATATGCATATGCATATATATGTATATATGTACATACACACACACATAAAGTCGGGTGCTAGTGGCTCACACCTGTGACCCTAGCTACTCAAAAGGCTGAGATCTGAGGACTGCGGTTCAAAGTCAGCACAGCCAGGAAAATCTGTGAGACTCTGATCTCCAATAAACCACCAGAAAACCAAAAGTGGCGCGCTGTGGCTCAACAGAGAGCTTGCCGTGAGCTGAAAAGCTGAGGGAGGGACAGCACCAAGCCCCGAGTTCAAACCCCACGACAGACCCCCTTCCCATTTATATATGTTTATATATATTTATATATAAATTTATATTTATATGTGTAAATATATAAACTTATATTTACGTATATATGTAGATATATATTATATAAATAAAAATAATAAGGGCTACAGATTGGCGTAGTATAAAAGAAGAACCATATGGAAGAAGCAGAGAAAGCCAGGCATAGTGCTGCATGCCTCTTAATTGCTACATTGGGGAGGTGGAAACAGGAAGATCATAAATATATAGGAAGATTTTGTCTTCAGTCTTCCCCAAAAATCAAACCAGAAATTCTCCAACACCCATTTCACTTCAGTATTACATCTAAAATGTAGATTTCTAGTGGCACCAGAACTTCCAAGTAGACTATTAAGTATCCCCTCCTTTTCCCTTAACATATTCTTTACAGCTATCCGACCTTCCTTTCTGCTGCTCTCTGTTGCTCCAAAAAGAAATGAAGTTCCCATCCCAAACCACCTACTTGATTCCACCTGCAGAATTTAAAATACTGTGCATAAGTCAATAGTAGTAAAAAAAAAAAAAAAAAAAAAGCTAGCAGGTGATTTCAAAGACATCAATTTTCCTTATCAGATGAAATGGAAGGAGGGACTCCTGATAGTGTCCCCAAAGTGTCAAACTGCTGGATCTTACTTTATATTACATTGCCTCTGTGAAAGGACTTTATAACTCAGTTACAGTCACTTGACATCCTTTTTGTTTTTGTGCCAGTCCCAGTACCTGAACTCAGCAGTACCTGTACATTGTCCCTTCACTGTTTTGCTCAACGCTGATTCTCTACTACTTGAGCCACACTACCACTTCCTGTTTTTTGGTGGCTAATTGGAGATGAGTCCTACAGACATTCCTGCCTGGGCTTGCTTAGAACAGTGATCCTCAGATCTCAGCTTCCTGAATAGATAGAATTAGAGGCAGCCAGCTTAACAGACTTTCAACACTCCCACTCTCCTCCCCTGGCCCAATGACTTTTATATCCTAGGAAATCAACACGTCATCTTTGGATGGACAGCAAACTATCAACAATGGACAAATACAGGTAGTATGTGTCCTACTGGACCAACACTATACTTCAAAACTGTTTTCCTGAGTTGTTGGTTGATGATTTAACAATAAGGATAAAAATGATAAACTGGGACTTGAAGTGTGGCTTAGTGGTAGAGTGCTTGCCTAGCATGCATGAAGCCCTTGGTTCAATTCCTCAGTACCACATACACAGAAAAAGCAGAAGTGGGTACTGTGGCTGAAGTGGTAGAGTGCTAGCCTTGAGCAAAAGAAGCTCAGGGACAGTGCCCACGCCCTGAGTTCAAGCCCTAGTCCTGGGGGGAAAAAATTACTGCAGTAGCCAGAACCAGAGAAATCAAACCAAGCTGTTATACCACCTAGGACAGGTTAAAAACCTGTCAAACTCATCTCTCCACATGAAACCCATCCATAAGGAAGCCAAAATATCCTTTGTAGTCCAATTTATGATCCCTTCTGAAAAGATCTAAAACACCAAAATACCAACAGTAACCAAAATGAAACAAACTTTGTTCAGGCAGAACTATCAAGAATTGATAGGGTTTAAAAGCCCTGAGAAATCTGTGTGCAACAACTCCATGATGTTTAAAAAAAAAAAAAAAGGGACAAAAAACCCCACAAAACCATCTAAAAAGGGTAGGTACTCCAGCATCCTTTTGCTGAAAAGATTCTAAAATATTTCTAATTCAATATATTAAAACTGAATTTTACTGTTATCTGCAATTCTGAAAAAAAACTTTAAACTTAAGTCTAACTTGCCATGTGCTTCCAAAAAGTTGATGAGTCAGTTTTTTTTTAAAAATGCATGTAGAAAATGAATAGTATTTCGCTATGAAGTAATTATTCCCAGCAATAAATCAGATGTAAACTTTTGAATTTGGTTTAAGTTTCCTTTCACCAGCAAGGTTCTCAAGTTCTTAGGAGTTTCCTAGTCATTTACTTGAACATCATCTACAGTAACACTCAAAGCAAAACCACAATAAAGAGGTTTGGCCTCTGAGGGATTCTACATGTAAAAAAACATTACTCATAAATAATACACAATCACTATTGATTTAAGTAGCACATTTCTAAACTTTCATTCCATCTGATAGAATCCCCTATTTTAGACAGTAAAACAACATTTGTGAAATCACCGAGGTGGGGTTTTTATTGTAACTAAATCAAAAAGTTTACACTAATTAAAAAAAAATAAAGGGCTACAAGCCTGCAGCTTGTGGCTCAAGGCAATAGTCCTAACTACTCTGGAGACTGAGATCTGAGGATCACTGTTAGAAGCTAAGCCAGGCAGGGAAATTCATGAGACTTTTATCTCCAATAAACTACCCAAAAAGCTGAAGTGGCCCTAGGGTTTAAGTGCTAGAGCACCTGCCTTAAGCAAAGAAAAGCTCAAGGACAGCGCCCAGGCCCAGAGTTCAAGCCCCAGAACCAGAGCAAAAACAAAACAAAACAACAATAGCAAAAAAACTCTACACACACAAACTAAGTGGGGAGGAGGAGGCGGGATGGTTGAGTTTGAGGCCAGCCTGGACTCCACACGAAGGCTGTCTCAGGAGAGAACAAAAAAGCAAAAGTACTCTGAGGAAGTATTTTTGGTTCTTGAGTATTTTTTATTCAAAGGTATTATGACTTAAAAGTTACTGGACTCCACAGAACAATTCCATCAGTAATTAGGTTGATTCAATTTAATCTCAGGTATAAACAAAGCAATGAAGCCTTAACAAGACATTTTCACCCAAAGAGTGTCATCCAGTAGGAATTGTTGAAGTCTACTACAGAGTACACTGAAACACTGCCAATTCAAAACAAATACCTGATGAAATGAGACTTTGGGCAATCAACCTTAAGTCTTCAAGTATCCACTAAGAGCTAAGTCCCGAGCGCCCCACTGCCAAGTCATTAAATGACACCAAGAACATTCTCAGCTTAAATCCCAAATAAAATTTAAAAAGATGACCGGAAGACTGTAAAATCAGGCTTGACATTTTATCCAACTATCTAAATGTTAAATCTAGAGTAGTTACACTTCTTTTGATGCTACGTGTAGTTTCCCACCTTCATCTAAATGAAAAGGAATTCTTCCAACGTTCTTTTCATCATAAAGAACTTTTAGACACACACTTCAAAATAGTCATTCTAATCACCATTTTGCACAATCGTCCCCCACCTCTGCATAACTTAACTAAAAACCTCGACCTATCAGCGTTTCCCTCCCTCCCCCCCAAAAATGCATTTTACCAACACTCTCCATATTTATTTTCAAGCACAAGGAAGTAACAGAAATTTTCAGCTCAAGACAGGAAAAGCACAACCAGTCTTACTGTAACACCACCATTAAATTCCTCCAAAAGAAAAACAACTCAGGAAAGGCAAATTAAAACCATTCAGCACAAGGCAAAAATATAAAGGTCTCATGTCCTACAATCCATAGCAACAGCCTCGTTTCCTCTTTTGAGAGTCAGCGCCAATAGACCCAAAGGATACAAGTGTCAAACAAACCCAGTGTTCGCTTGAAGAAAGACCAAAGAACTGGGAAAATTCCCTTCCGTGAACAGGGGGCCTTGCACCCTGCAAAGGCACAAGGCTAAACGCATCGCACATCACCCACCCACCCACCCACCCCAAATGCAGAAAAAGCAGCAATCAACAAGTTGGAAAGAGGGCAAGAAAGTACGGCTCGCTACCCCCCCTTCGCCCACCTTGAAACAACAACAACCAAGTCCTTTCACCGAGACGAGAGCTCTCCAGTACCTGGTGGAGGTGCCTTTCCTCACGTCGCAGATGCTGCATTTGAAGGCTTCGGCGCTGTTCCTGAAGGTGCAGACGCTACAATCCCAAAAGCCCTCGTCTGCGGTGGGCTTCGCTTGTCTCTTCGGCCTTCGGGAGGAGTGGGGGACGGAGGGGAGGGGAGCCAGGGGGTGGGCAGGAAAGGGAGGAGGAGAGACAGGCAAAAAAAAACACAGGGCTTGGTGAGCCGTCGTCATTCCGCAGGAATCCAGCCGGCGCTGGAAACTTCGCTCTCGGGCGACCACCCACCCTTTTCGGGGACCGGGGAAGCGGCAGCCGGGCGCCCCCGCCCGCCGGCACCCTGCGAGCCCCGGGGGCCGAGGGGG